ATATATTATATTTTTGTTGTAGTTCGTTTGTAACGCATCGGAATTTTTGCCAGTCCATTCAAATTTTGTTTGTTTTTTGTCTAATCAAGCACATTTATATGAGGAACGAAACTTGAGAGAACATTAGTAAATATCAATACATATACATATATGTGTATAGATATTGATATATAGATTTTGTGAATCTTGTTTCGTTAATTGGTTTTATATTCTTTGTGACTTTCATTTGGTCATGTACAATTTTTTTTATGACATAGAATTTGGGTTTGTTTTTGAGACTTAAAATGATCACGACCGTTGCTTGACAGACCATATATATACATATACGTATATATATATATAGCTAATACACTTGAAATTTTTTATAACGATTACATAAGTACTTACAACGAGGACCTATCATACATACAATATACAGTATAAGTACATACACATAAGTCTTCCCAGCTCCATTTGTTCTAGACTAAACGCACTCGGAGAGATTTTGCCTGTGAGTTCCCTAGCTAAAAGAAAATTCCATTTTAAGACTAACGCGCCGACTAAAAATATTTTGAAGAAGTTCAGCGCGAGGCGAGGCCTCTTCAATATCTGCCATTGGGAGGGTTCTCCTTGTTCTGCTTCTTGTTCATGTCCACTTGGGCGGTGGCCAGGTAATTGGAGCCCTCCAAGTGCAGTGTGCTCTGCCTGTGCGAGTTGCGAATCAAGCAGAAGGTGGAGAGCAACAGAAGCACCAGGCCCAGGGTGCACAGGCTCACGATGAGAACGACGCGAATTTTGGGCGGAACATTCTCGGCGAAGCGCATCATGTCCGTGACCTCGTTGGGCAGCGAATCGATGCCCTCCTCAAACCATAAAATGGGGAAAATAATATCCGGGAAATTGGCCACCTGCTTGATGTCGAACACCTGGCTGACGGCCAAGTTGATCTGGATGCGAGCGCTCACACGCAGAGTGGTGCCCGTTGTCTGAAGAAGAGGAAGAAATAGTTACATTCAAGATCAGCTAGTAGAGCGCCAATTCTATATGCTTACGGGCTGCACATCGAAGTAGAACTGATGCCTCTCCTTCATGGGCGGCGAAATGCCCTCGACCTGAGTGCGCAGACTGTCGTCGGCCAAGTAGAAATGCGGGAAGCTCAACATAATGGGCGAGTCTACAGAAGAGAGAGAGCGAGAGAGAGATCAGCTATAGAAATGTCGAGATCTAAGGGTGTTGGCTAGGCTTACCGTATTGACACAGCGACACATTGAAGAGGCCGTTGGGCGAGCAGGAGGGCTTGCCCGCTGGACAATAGCACATGTTATCCGGATGGCTTTCCACATCGGCGAATACCCATTCGGGCGGTGTGAAACGATAGGCGGGCACATTGTTGGGCGTGTCCACCTCACGCTCAAAGACCAATGGCAGCAGACGACATAGATCCTTGTCGTATACCTCGAGCATGCGATCCTTGGTAATGTGCGGCGGAAAGATGGAGCCATCGGTGCCATCCAGACGATTGCAATTGTCCGTTGTCCAGTGCGGCAAATGTGTTTTTCCATTGAACTTGTCAATGATGCCGTATTGCTTGATGTTCTCGGTGCCCGTGAAGACAGTGACACGATCCGATGAGGTGCCGTTCTTGCCATAGAGCAAGCCGAACTCCTCGTAGGGCAGCTTTTGTTCCTTGGGCACGACATCCTTTGCCAGCTTGAGCAGAGGATCCTCGTAGCCCCAGAGCAGCTGACCCACAGAGACTTGCACGAATGGCTTGATCTTCAATATATCCATGATGCTGGCCATGGCCAAGCGCAGGAATCTGAAATAGATCAAAATGTTCCACTTAGATCTGACATGGCAATAGGGAATTAAATTTCCTCTCTTACCTGGCGGCATGTTTGCTCTGTGAGGTGGCACTCAACATGGGTATATTGGGCACAATGACCACATCGTCTTCGGGACCAGCCGACAGATCTTCACGGAACTTGTAGATCTTGCGCAGATTATAGCTCAGCGTGCCATTGTCATTCTCCACAATGTTCACCTTTTCCCATGTCTCGCTGCAAAATTGCAAAATCAAATCATTAACATTTCAAGTGGGAGAGAGAGAGAGAGAGAGAGGGAGTGGGAGATCTTGAACTTACGTGTAAACATAGGGTCCCACTTCATCGACAATGGCCTTGGAGCCGTTGCTTAGGAAATCATCCGCATTAGTCACGTTGTACACATACAAGCTGATGTGCGGCTCAACGGGAGGCTTGGCCCACCAGCCAAAGGTCTTGGAGCCGGGTCGCAGCGCAATCATGCGATCAACGATCGCATTGATTAGCACCGAAAATTCACAGGCCACCAAAACTCCACCAATTAGTAAAAGGACGGCGATTATAATAGTAATCCCTGCAGTACCAGAGAAAGATAGAGAGAGAGAGAGAGAGAGAGAGAGAGAGAGAGAAGAGAAAGAGAAAACAAATTTCATTTAATAATAATTCGTTTGACTTATCCTCTATGCCATATGCTCTGAGCAATGATTCATCTGGGGGAAATCTCAGCTCAGCTCGCTTTGTGCACCCAGTGCACGTACTTCATTTTTCACCTTTCAAGCTGAACCCAAAGAGCTAATAAAGGCGTCGCCGCCTGATTTGTGTTAAATGATATGAGTTCAAATCTTACAGATGCGTTGCACACACCAGATGAATCATAGAAGTAATATCTAGATATACCTATATTATATACATATATTATATACTTTATATATTATTTGGATTCCAGTCAATATGCGAATAGATCACAGACTCATTTTCTATTGCTATAAATGTTTACCTTAATGAGAGCTAATCTTCTTTTTCTGAGGTGTGAATCTTCACAGCAAGCAATTTCAACAAATTAGTTAAACAAAGTGGAATTATTAAACTAGGTATGTATATTTAGCTGAAAATCAATGACTATAACTTTTGGGTGAAAGATCAAAGACTCTACAAATTTTACTACTTTTAAAACATAGGGCTGAGATCTCAACTTTTGTTTAGTAAACGATTCATGTATTTAAATTTATTTTAAAACCGGATTTTTGTCCGGGTAATTTTAAGAATTTTATTAGCTAATGAATATGAAATGTATAATTAAAGACATTTATAACATGTATCTGAAATATGATAATAATCGTAAGAAGAAAAAAAAAATTCTATTTCTCGCATGAGACTCTATACTTTGATCTTTCTTTTCAACTTTACCAGATTTCTGATAAGCTGTATTCAGCTTAAAACAGAGTTCGAATTATTAATTTCATTTTGTTTTGTTGCATTGTGTTGCCTTGGCTAACTTTTCTAGACGTTTCAGTCACTCCGCTTAGCAGACTCTTTCATAGTAATTCAGCTGGAATGGTAAAACTTAACTGTTGCATAGCTGTTGACCTTCGCCCCTTTGGCTCGATCCATAATTGCGAATGCAAACCAAGCAAAGCTAGGATCGGCAAGGTTAATCAGTGTCGCGCCGCTGTCCAGAAGAAGTGATATGTTTGGCTCTTTTCAGAAATGTCTCGAATTTAGTTTGAAGTATGTATATTTTTTACATTGATCAACACCTTCAATGGGTTTCTCCAATACCTAATCAATTTCATTAATAAATATCAGAGTCTAGTGTGTTAATTCACATTGATTAGCTAAAAAGTTGATGCCCATATTTATATAATAAACCGATAATCGATAGATCGTAAATCCAAGCAAAGTTCATAGACTCATCTCTGAGTCGAAAATCCATTCGTTCCGTTATTTTTAGCACATTTCGTTTGGTTTGTGGCTAGTTGATCTGGCGACCTTATAGCATTGTTCGTTCCTCAGTTAATTAATTCAAGTTATACGAACGAAGCAAAGCTGCAATTAGCTATTAATCATCCGATTGAATAATTGTATAAATTAATGAACCTCTATGAACGTCGGCTTGTTTTTCCAGAAAGTCGACTTATCAATGCATTTATTAAAGCCCAACTAACTAACCGATTATTATACCAGTTATGATAGCCAGCTATTGAGCCGTAAGCTCCACTTGTTAGCCCTCACGTCAGCTTGCAATGCGAAGTGCAATTATTTATTATCCTCGCCATTGAAACTCTACTCGAGTATTATTGTGTGTAAACAAATCGAATGCATATATACGTATGTATGCGTGTATCTATATTTATTTACACAACTTTAGAACGCAAAAATCAAATTCTTTCGGCTGATTCATCAAGAATGTGTGAAGTTGTTGACGCCAGGTAAACATCGACTTGGCTGACTGACTGTCTGAATAACTGTCTGTCTATGCGCAATGTGTAAAAGACCTTGACAATGTCAAGAAAGCGCCGCCGCATAGCCATCTTCCATGTATATACATATATATATACACATATATATATAATATCTGGTATCTGCCATCAATTAGAATTCAAAATTGAAATACCTGTAAAACCAGTCATAGCGAAACAGTCAACAAAACAGCCAGCCAGCTATTCAGTTGGTAATAATTGAGTTCGATTTCAATGCAGTACGGAAATAATACACCTATTCAGTAATACAATACCAGCTCTTGCTGGAATGTAACTGAAAACCTTTATGCACCAAAGGTTTATACAATTCGATTGAGGCCCAAGCTACTTGGAAATATTTCAGGTGCATTTTCAGGAAATTGATAAATTTGTTAGCTATACTTTCTTTTGTATTGGTTAAGGTGGTTAAACCCAGTCTTAGTCCAATCTAATCTGGCAGCTCTCTTAAGAACTGTTTGTGATAATCTTAATCCATAAAATCTGAAGGGCTTTTTCATTCGGATTCTGCACAAATTTTAAATATTATGGCAAACCTCTGGAAATTTCAAACCTTCCAAAAGTCCTATATGAACTACATTTAGCCAAGGGACTCGTACCTTCAGACACTGAAAAGTTTTCATACTTAGAGCATCATTTTCAGCTACCTGGCAACACTCTGGACAGCCCCTCCCCTGAAGTTTCCCAACCAAGTAAATATAAATTGATCAAGTAAATATTAATTAATCATAGGGACCCCCATCGTTCGGGCTATAAATTAAAATTTTCGATTATCTGGCAACTCTTAGCCTATTTTATTAGCTTATTAGCCAGACTGCTATACATCCATAGCCGCCTGATTGGCTGCTTAGGAATTTAATTTACTATCAAGTTGACTTTCAATCAAGAGCTTATTTAGCTGTTACAAATCTTTTAATCGTTGCTCTCTTAATTAACTGCGTCTAATTCATTCGCTTTGTCAGTCAGAAAACTGTGACGAGCTGCTCTGACTCGGACTGTATAATTGTAATTGATTTAAATTAAAGACGGAAATAGCCAACACTTTTATATAACTTATAATGTGGTTGAGTAATGTGTTTAGCCATTCAGGTAAAGCCCTAAACTTTGAAACACCACAGAAAAATCTCAAAAAGGTTCCATGAAGTTCTCTAGAGTTGAAAGCAATTAACATTATATTAGATTAGCACTAATGGAATTTAAATGCTAATAAACCACTTGAGAAAAAAGTTGGTTTAGGAAAAACTTGTATCAAAGTAAAGTAAAGTAAGTAAAGTCAACTAAAACAAATGGAATTTTCTACCCAAGAATTGTGACTTAACAGAGAAGTATTCCAAATTGCAGACGCAAGAGATTTGCGTAAGCAAGAATCACCTACACTTGCAGCTATTTTATCAATAGTTTAAAATATATGATAAACGCATTTTAGCAATCTGGCAACGTTGGCCTCATTAAGCTAACTGCGGCTGATTGATTTTCCCAGGCAATAAATGTACTAAAACCTTGCAATTTGCATTTATATCTTATATCTACAAACCACATCCGACTTTTGAATGCTCTACTTACACCATTTGCGCAGATATGTGCTGGAGAGTTTGGTACAAAGTTTGTGTTTGGGTCCGTTCATGTTGTGATCGTTGTGCGGATGTCAAAGTGTGAAACGCCTTCTGGTGCAGAACTATAAATAGCAGAACAGAAATAATTATAATAAACTGCGATAAAGATGCAAATCTGGTTTTAAATTAAGGCCGAGCATCGTTAACTTGGCTAGTTGTTAATGAAAGTCTAGCTAGGAATGCATAAGTTGATTGCCGGGCAAAGTTTCAGAACTTTGTTGATAATAAAAAATAAAATGATCATTATGATGATCATGATGAGCGTGATGATGACGCTGATGTTGATAATTATTGTTTAGATGTCTTGGGTTCTCTACATACGATCCGTGTATATATTAGCCACGCTCAAGTCTAAAGTGTAGCAGTCAAGTTTAACTCGTTCGGAGAGGGCCGAGCTCTGAACCTCAAACTCAGACACGTTTCAGGGCAAACTGGCCTTGTCCGCTGTGTTGTATAGTTTTTTTTTTTTTTTTTTTTTTTTTTTTTTTTTTTTTTTTTTTTTTTTGTTTTCTGTTTTCTGATTTTTATACCCTGAACCCATTGAAAATGGGAAATCAGGGTATAATGGTTTTGTTGAAATGTATGTAACAGGCAGAAGGAGGCGTGGCAGACCCCACAAAGTATATATATTCTTGATCAGGGTGACGAGCTGAGTTGATTTGGCCCTGTCCGTCTGTCTGTCTGTCCGTCTGTCCGTCTGTCCGTCTGTCCGT